TACTTTAAAATGTAAAAAAATTAAAAAATCACTATTGAAGACAATTTCCAAATTCAGCATACCCTCTAAGTTTCTGTTGTGAAAAACTAACATTAAACCCTGCCTGTAAGGACACAATGCAGCTTTCTAGCAGGTTTTCATCCTATTTTACAGGCTCCTGCACCAGATAATAAAGGAATTCATCAGACCACTAACATTGCCTCATGAAAATTTAACCATGAAACTATCATATGGAATTTTCAGGGGGAAAAAAAAAGGATGAATCTTTCAAAGTTCAATTACAAAGAATACTTTACAACCTGGATTTAAAAACTCTTTTATAGGGGCACCGGGTGGCACACCTGGTTAAACGTATGACTCCTGGTGTCTGCTCAGGTCATGATCCCAGGGTCGTGAGATGGAGCCTCATGTTGGGCTCTGTGCTTAGCGCAGAGCGTGCTTAAGACTCTGTCTCCCTCTGGCCCTCCTCCCATGCCCATGCTCTCTCTCTCTGTCTCTCAAAATAAGTAAATCTTTATTTTTTTTTTTTAAGATTTCACTTATTTATGTGTCAGAGAGAGAGAGAGAGTGCGCGAGCACAAGCAGGGGGAGCTGCAGGCAGAAGAAGCAGGCTCCCCGCTGAGCAGGGAGCCCAATGTGGGGCTCAACCCAGGACCCTGGGATCATGACCCAAGCAGAAGGCAGACACCCAACAAACTGAGCCACACAGGCATCCCAAATAAATAATCTTTTAAAAAAATAAAATGGCAACTGGGTGGCTCAGACATTAAGCATCTGCCTTTGGCTCAGGTCATGATCTCAGGGTCCTGGGATTGAGCCCAGCATCGGGCTCCCTGCTCAGTGGGAAACCTGCTTCTCCCTCTCCCACTCCCCCCTGCTTGTGTTCCCTCTCTCGCTGTGTCTTTCTCTGTCAAATAAATAAATAAAATCTTTAAAAATAAATAAAAAAAAAATGAAATGAGAACTCCTGGGGCACCTGGGTGGCTCAGTCGTTGAGCCTCTGCCTTCGGCTCAGGTCATGATCCCAGAGTCCTGGGATCGAGCCCCCACATCAGGCTCCCTGCTCGGCAGGAAGCCTGCTTCTCCCTCTCCCACTCCCCCTGCTTGTGTTCCTTTTCTCACTGTCTCACTGTGTCTCTGTCAAAATAAATAAATAAAATCTTAAAAAAAAAAGAGAACTCTTTTATAATTAATGACCACAGGGGAAAAGATTGTTGAGAAAAAATACTAAAATCTCTACTGTGGTGAGAACATAGAGGACTCTTTCTTTTCTATACTTCTCTGAGTCTTATATATTTTCCACAATTAATAGGTGTTAACTTTTTTAATGCTTAACTCTCCTTCTCTCCCTCTCTCTCTATATATATATAGTATCCCTATATCAAATGAAAAACTTACGTAACTCTACATTTATGTTTTTGCCTAAGATACCAGGAAACTCAATATCAAATTCAGCACCTAATCACAGTGAATAAATACCCTCACTTTCAACAGTATGTGATATCTAGTCTTTTCCATTGACTTTGGTTTTCAATTTCTTTTTAACAACCTCATTGAAGTATCTTTAATTATAAACCACCACAATTACTCTTCAGAAAAAGAAACAATTTAATATACAATTTTATATAATATAGTGTTACATAACTGTTAATTATATGTGAGCCATTTTTCATTAATAGTATCCTGTTCGTATCTTGCACAAATAACTGAAACTCTTTACAAATCGCAAAGATCCAAGATCTAATAGAAAACAGAGCAATAATATTCACCTGCAAGGAAATAAGCAAACATCACACTTTCATAAGCTGCCTCATCATAAATGGTCAGGTACTGAGAAGAAAATGGAAGTCTTCACAGCAAGGCCTAATTCCATTTGTCTGTCTTGGCCATTTAACCTCTGCAACAAAGAGTAAGAGGCAGCTTATCAAAAAATGAACCTAATAAGCAACAGGATGATATTTCCCTTTGTAAAATTTAAGTTTTACATGCCTGGCAGGGGCAGCACTCAATTACTGAGAAGTTCCGTCACACCCACAGTGGAGTGTAACTGAAGCAACCAGCCCACACGTGTCAGAGAACTAACCCGGTCATCTCAAATCATGCATGTCTAGACAGCTGCTGCTCCCCAAGTCCCAGGTCCTGTAAGCCCTGTTTGTGTCACTTTTGTAAAAATATATCCACACCCTGGAGACTATAGCAGGAAACACGCACGACAGAGGTCAGGAAATTTCCTGTACCAAGAAGGGCCAAGGAGATCAGTCACATAACTGGTATTTACTTTTAGTCTGCAATAAAAAAATATGTCCATAGCCAGACAGGGAAGAAGGAAGATAAGAAAAAAATCATTTGTGGTTTTCTGCGTATTTGTCAGGAGAGGGAAATCAAATATAAGAACTTGAATGGCAGTCTGAGAACAAAGTTGGGAATCAAAAGCCATTAGTACACAAGGGCACCTTAGCAATGTAGGCAGACTGGGCAGTTTCCTCCTAAAGGGCTTCAC